GAGCAGAAATCTACCCAAACTATCAACTTATCACTTTATAAGGCTTGAAAAGCCTCTCATTCAACTGTATAGAATTAGGAATATAAAGTTTATTCTAAAACAAATAAAACCTATTTTTAGGTGAATTGTAAATGAGTCTCTAGATTTCTGTTAAATTAATTATAATTAATTTAGAAATTTCGACTGAACTATGACAGTTCTCTAACATTTTTAAATCCAAGTTATTCCAGGAAGACAGTAATCAATCATTTGTGGCAATTCAGTACCTTTATAAATCTTAAACCAGAGTGGTGGCACATGCTTATAATCCTAACTACTTGGGAGGCTTGTGGCAGGAGGATCACAGGTTTGAGGCCAGCCTGAGCAACTTAATAAGATCCTGTCTCAAAATTTTTTAAAAATCTTAAAAAGTCTGGGGATATAGCTCAGTGGCAGGTGGCAGATTACTGGCTTCACATACACATGGCCTTCAGTATAATTCTAGCACAAAAAGAAAGAAAAGAACCTTAAAGTACTAAAACAAAGAAAAATTTTCCCCAAATGTTAAATGCAATTCATGACCAAAAAAATCTGATTTATATCTATATAGAATAGTAATTTTACTATACTTTCTAAAAGTGAAATTTAAAAATAAACAAACACCCTAAACTTAACTTCCTACACAAAAGTAAATGAACAAAGGGTCCAAATATGACTGTAATTTTACAGAATCAAATTATGCATACTAATGGCAGTAATAACAGAAATACATATTATTGCTCTTAAACATCCTCCAAAGTGTTCAGAACAATTTCCTCAATCACTAGACAGAAGACAGGTTATGAGATAGATTAGAGCAAAAGAAAACATTGTCAAAGACTATGTAATAAGCCAGCTGAATAACAAACCCGGAAATGAATTTTTACAATTCATCCAAAGACAAACTATGATTTTGGTATTGTATATCTAATAAAGTAGTATAGCTGATATAAGAAAAATTACATAAAAATAAATTAAGGAGTCATGATAATTTGTTTAATCTACTCATTTTAAAACTGGAACAGATGTAATTAAAAATCATCCTGGTATTATGCTGCAAGAACTAAAAACAGAACGCACTCTTCAACTGCCCGAAGTACTTTGTTCTAACAGGAGGATGTTGAGACACAGTGTTTAACTCTGACAAAAACAAATGAATCTATATGAAATCATAGCAAAGATTATGCAATTTATTAAGCATGACAAAAATGAATCATTCTTCCAAATCTTTCACCTTTAAAAAATTGCAATGTAGGCGGCGCGGTCCGCTGAGGAGGCGGCCCGAGCAGCCAGGGGGCGGTGGATGGCTCTGCGAGGTCCGCCGGGCTTGGGGCCAGCTCCCCCTAGCTGTTGGACGAGGCTGTGGCAGCGGCCGGGGGACGCGAGGCGCCGGCCCTTTTGGCAACCTGACCCACGCTGGAGGACGATGAAGAGGATGATGGCCGCGGCTGGGTCCTGCTGCGCTGGGAAGGTTTCTCGGCCTGGCTGCACTGCGTGTGTGGTGGGCTTCGAGCTGGACCTGGGCCAGGCCGTGGAGATTCAAATTCAGGTTGTCTTGGAGATACCCAGTTTTCTTTTAGATTTTGACAGTCTTCTGGGAGGAAGGTGTCACTGCATTGTCTTCTGGATCAATCTGACAAACATTTACCAGTTTACTTAAAGAAAGACCCTGCTTATTTTTATGGATGTGTATTTTCGAGAAGTTTGAGATAAAACTCTTAAGAGAGGCTACTTTCAGAAGTCATTGGTTTTAATCAGCAAACTACCTTACATTCATTTTTTTCACACTGTGCTGAAACAAATAGCAGCAGAGTATTTTGAAAAGAAAGAACTTTATTTGGAAGCAGCATGTAATGATGTTGACAGATGGCCTGCCCGGGTGCCGGGGAAAACACTGCACCTGCCTATCATGGGAGTGGTGATGAAGGTACGGATTTCCACATGTTATGACAAGCCTGGGACTACTCGAACAACACAGCTAACTCAACAGGCAAATACACACATATCTGTTATTTTACCTACTGTTCATGAGGTGGATCTTTTCAGGTGTTTCTGCCCAGTTTTTCTACATAGTCAGATGCTTTGGGAGTTGGTGCTGTTGGGAGAGCCCCTCATAGTGATGGTGCCATCACATCAGAGTCGTCGGAGACTGTATTGGCCCTTGTTAACTGCATTTCTCCATTAAAGTACTTCAGTGATTGCTGACTTTCTTTCACTATTCATGATAGTGAATTCAAAGAATATACGCATACTCAAGCTTCACCCTCAGTCATTTTAGGAGTAACCAACCTTTTTTTTGCTAAAACACTTCAGCACTGGCCACACATTATTCAAACAGGAGACCTTAAACCTGCAGGTGAAATTCCTAAGCAAGTTAAAGTGAAAAAACTGAAGAACCTAAAGACTCTGGATTCTAAACCTGGAGTTTATACTTCTTACAAGCCGTATCTAAATAGAGATGAAGAGATCATAAAACAATTACAGAAAGGTGTACAACAGAAATGTCCTTCTGAGGCTCAAAACATTATTCTTCGACTCTGTTTTTTGGAACTGACACAAAGTTTCATCGTTCCATTAGAAGCAGATGGTCAATTCTTGAAGCAGCATACACCATCTGGATGTTCCCTAATTCCATTCTGGTACTATCTGAAGATGCATCACATCTCACAGAAAAGATATGTGGCAAGCCTGATGCCTTTGCAGAAAACTATTTCTCCATGGAAGAGCCCACCCCAATTAAGACAGTTCCTTTCAGAATTTATGAAAACACTTGAAAAAACAGGACCTCAGCAGACTTCTAGAATAAAGGGCGACTGGATTGGACTTTACCAGCATTTTCTGAAGTCTCCAAATTTTGATGGTTGGTTCAAAACCTGGCAGAAAGAAATCACCCAAAAATTGCAGGAACTCCATCTAGAAGCTCTTTGTGAAGAGGACCTACTTCTCTGGATCCAAAAACACACAGAAGTAGAAACAGTAGACCTTGTATTGAAGGTGAAAAATAAGCTGTTGCAGGCTGATCGAGAACATTTACCTGTGAAACCAGACACTATGGAAAAGTTACGGACACATATAGACGCTAGCGTTGCCAGAGGATCTTCAAAGCACACTGCTCAAAACGAGCATGACATGATAATTTACCAGGATTTTCCAGCCAAAATGGATTGCGCAGCACGAAGCATACTGACGTTTCAATAGACACCCAAAGGAGATCTCCCCATGGCAGCAGAGTGGAAAATAGCTATGAACGGGAGATAGAGGAAGACTGTATTGTGTAAACAGACCTTTTTTTAGTGCATTATTTTAAAAAATGGATACTTTGCAGTGGTTCTACTTTAATAGAAACACTGAAAGGCATTTCTATATTTTTAATCATGTTCTAAAGTGCTCTTATAAGAGACCTGTGGGGCCATCAGTATAAGTGATTCCATACTGCAGTGCTGGCATTGCAGATATATTTTTTTTTAAATTGGTGCTGCTTTGCCCAATCATGTTAAAGCTCAGGGAGATATAAAAATAACATTCACGCTGACCATCTTCTTATGAAAGAAGACTGAACTGTCCAACTATAGTTAGAGGTAATTGATGCTTATGTAGTGCCTTCTGTTGTCCTATATGTTTCAGAGTCCAGCTGTTAGTCTTGAAGCATTTTCTTAGCTTGATTGTGATGTGTAATTTTATAAGGCATTCTATTGAATAATCACTGCTTAAAAATATTTTTTTTACTTCCCATCTTGCCTATTAGTAGGCATGGTTGTTTTTTTCATTTGTCATATAGATTTTCATTTCACTGTTTACCATTTTCAAAATTTCAAGACAAGAAAGCATCTTTTGTTAATTATGCAAAAGTTTATTTTCTCTTACATTTTACCAATTGAGCCTATATAAACTAATTAGTTTGGATGTTTTTGAAGACATTTTAATTATGAACTTCGTAATTGGCTATTTTTTAAGTGGAGCTATTATTTTTACGGTATCTGTAAGTCTTATATGTGATACTCATTTGAGTGATTATAAAATTGATTTCCCATATCATTTGTTGGGCAGTGTTATTCCCCAAAACTCATGTTTCTCAGAACACTTTTTTTTTTTTACCCCTTTCCTCCTGGTACCAGGATGGAAATCAGGACCTTGCGCTTGTGAGGCAGGCGTGGTGCCACTGAGCTAAATTCTTGGCCCTTTTTTTGTTTTTTTGAGACAAGTCTGGCTATTTGTTCATGCTCATTTTGAACTGAGTATGGAGCCCAGGCTGACCTCAAACTCACAGTGATCCTCTTGCCTCAGCCTCCCAAGTACTGGGGTTACAGCCATGCCCCACCATACGTGGCCTTTAAGGGACTTCTTGGTTTTTTGGTCTTTTTTTCTTCTTTTTTGCTACCAGAAATCGAACTCAGGGCCTCGAGCTTGCCAGGTGGGTGCTGCACCGCCAACAAGCTACATCCCCCACCCCACGCCCAGCTTTTTCAGAACACTTTACCTGTTGTTTGACATGAGAACTTTTGCCTGAATCATTAGTTCTTTGTTGTTGTTTTTTATTTTTCTTTTGTCTATACTACCTTGCCAGAAATAGAAGAATGTGATTTGGTATAGTAAGATTGTTTGGTCTATGTTTGAGTGGGAGTGTCCTGCAGAAGCCAGTATTTAAAATAGGCACACACAATGTAGTCCATATGTAAATAGTTGTGTCTTAATTAACTTCTACACCACCAAATTTAGTTGTATGTGTTTGTAAAAGAAATGGCTTCAGAAGCTATCTCGTTTCTGTTGCTGTTAACACATAAGGGCATTCCTGACCCAAGAAAGGTTCCTTATGTTTGTAAGTGTGGTCTAATCCCCAAATGTGCCCTTTTTTATGGATTCAGTCTCTTGAAGGATACTTCTAAATCATAGAGAATTTAGCATTTGGAAGAAATCAATTGCCTTGGATCATATGAGTTATTTTGTGAAACAACAGTTGTCCCTTCAGAAAGGAGTGACCACTTTTATATGCTAAAGCATTTCATAGCTTTCTAGGAAACTTTATTTAGGTATAAATGGTCATCTTATTATTTTTCAAAAAGTTGTATTTTAATAATCTTACGATTCATATACAGTTTGTGACCAGAATTTGAAAACTGTTTGTCTCATATCAGGTACCTTTAAAAAATTGTACCACTACAGGATGTATCATTTCAAGTTTATTTTGCACAGCTGAAGAGTAGCAAAAGATGCCCATTAGCATGATAATGGTATCTTCATACTTACTGTATTTAACTGAAATTTAACACATGTTGAAAAACATACTGATCCATTTTCTCTCTTAATTTCAAATTATGTACTTGTAAGAATAACTTAAAGCTGCACTGGAAATCTCAGAGTGACTGACTGGTAACTTAATTTTTTGTGTGTAGTTTTAGAGCAGTCTTTTTTTTATTTTTTAGAAGACTCTGTTAACATCTAAACTGCCATTTAATGTTTTATGTCCACCAGCATTAGAAGGAATCGCTGCTTTAAGGGCCTTATGTAATGCCTAGTACCTTCTATTTACAGTGAAAAAGAGGAGGCATTTATGTGGAGGCATTTATGGTCATTACCAGAAACTGAATTAAAAGCCTTGAATTTTAAAGCAAAAAAAAAAAAAGCAATGTAAAATCAAAAGACAACTGTTGTCATCAAAGCAAGAATAAAACAATAAATCAAAACTTCTAGGGGCCAGGGATTTAGCTCAGTGGTTGCACTGCCTACCTCGCAAGCACAAGGTCCCGGGTTCGATCTCTGGTACCAAAACAAACAAAAAAAACTTCTAGGGCCGGGGATTTAGCTCAGTGGTGCCATGCCTGCCTCACAAGCACAAGGTTCTGAGTTCAATTCCCGACAACCCTCCCCCATACTAAAAAAAAAAAAAAAAAATTCTACAAAGCTTTAAGGCCCTTAGGCAGTTGCTCAAAATCTTCTCATGCACCCTAAGATGTACTCTAAAATGAGATCAGAAGGCAAATTTCAGAGAAATTCTTTATTATCTTGGTTTAATATGAAAAGAGGTAATAATGTTTTTTAAATATTTTAATGGAGTTTCCCCCCTTTAAAGTTTTATATTTTATTCTAGAAAATATACATAATCAATACGCAAGCTTTTATGCTTAAAATTTTTTTTAAATCTTGATATCTACCTGTGTTAGTATATGCCGATATGGACATAAGTTCTGGAGACTTTTTAATGAATTAGTGCAAGAATTTGCTATTTTGAGACAAGAAAAGGCCATTCTGTCTTGCCACTGAAGTCACTAGGACACTTAAAGCATTTTAGACTCAGTATTCTATGGAAAGATATACAAAGAGTTTTTAAAAATCAGTAATCCCTATCCTATAAATTTTATTTCATAGACCACTAAATCATATCCAACTTAAGATAAAAAATATGCTATTCCATTGCGATTTGAAGATGTCCTAGAAATACACAAGTAATTCTGAAACATGGGCAATATTAGCACAACGATTAACATAGACTTTTAGAAGTATAATTAGGCCTAGAGACAAGAAGACAAATTTTTAAGTTTCCTTCTTATCTGAGTTTTTAAAAAATTAAAGAAGCATGCAGTGCTTCAAAAAACAGTTATCACTAAGCATTTCCTTTATCTGTGTATGACCTTTGTAGATAATAACTGATGAAGTATGACAGAAGGGATTTCCCTGGCCAGTACAATCAACCAAGAGTCAACATCAACTTGGCTTTTTGTACCATTCCTTTTCTACTGTATCTGTGAAATCTTACCATGTGAAACACAGCACTTCAGTAAAGTCAGTCACCCTGTAAATCCGAGCATGCAATTGTTCAAAGGCATCTGACTATGAGGAATTCTCCATTACTTAACCACACCTGCTTTAGGTTGTAAACCATACGGAGTGTATTATACTCACACCAGCTAATCCTCAGTAACTTCAGAAGCCAATTCTGAATTTTTAATGTAGCCTGCAATACACATGTTTTAAACCAAGGTTTTCTTAGTAATTCTTATTTCTACATTAAGACAAGGTCATTAAAATTAGCTTTAGTAGATTATTTGTAAACTGAATCTCAGGGGTTTTTTTCCTATAGAAGTATAAGATTTGCAAATCTTGGTGAATTTAACAGTCTTCATTTGGTACAGCAGAGAGTTTATATAAAAGTAGGTACTTTTCTCTCCTATGACAGCTATCAACAGGACTCATTTTCTAACACGCAGTAGTTCCTTAAAAACTACTGGGTCGGTGGTTGTGGTGGCACACACATGTAATCCTAGCACTCAGGAGGCTGAGGCAGAAGTACCACCTTGAGTTCGAAGCCAGCCTGAACTACAAAGGGAGACCCTGTCTCACAAAAAACTGCTGGGTCATTAGGGCTGGGGATATAGCTCATTGGTAGAGGGCATGCCTAGCATGTGTGAGGCCCCTAGGTTTGATGAAGGGAAGGGGAAGGGGGAAAAGAACTAAGGAGGTTATTCAAGATTATGACACTTTCGATCATTTTTCCTCACAGAATACTGTTTTAATTTAGTAAGACTCTAAGAAAGAACTAATGATAACAGATACTCCTTGAAAACAATGAGTTAATTTTCAGATAATGAAAGGTAAAAAATATAAATGAACATTGGTGTTACTAAGTTCCAGGAAAGAGAAAAAGGTTCCTATATTCTTCCTTTTCTCTAACCCTTTAATAAGCCATGTTAACTTTTCCCTCACTGTCTTAAAAAAGTCCAATATCCTGTGAATTGTAGTAGTTATATATAAAGTATGTAAACATCTGGGATCCTATTTCACAAACTATGGTTAAGAAAAAAATGTATGAAGAGACAGAAATCTAGATTCCACTAGGAAGTCTCCCAATAAGATACAAGACTCAGAGAGACTTTACACATACATACCTAAAAGTATGAGTGTATATAAATAAACAAACTATCTCTTTGCAGTTGTTGGGAGTGACTTTTTCAGGTTGATCCTGTTATTTTTATGGTTACCAAATAAATGATATTCTATTATCAATAATGTTAAATGTGGGGGGAAAACCGTCATGTAAACGGGATAAGAAACTATTGTAAAGCAGAAATTCAATCTAAAATCTTAAATTCTCAATTTTTATATAAGGCAATAATGCATCCTAATAAAAAGTGACTAGCAATTAAATGCCTGTACATAGGAATAACAACAGTAACGCACTGCCATAAAACAGACACGATTTTAGAAACCTGAAGTAAAAAAGAAAACAAGTAATGAGCCTTCAACTATTTAGGTAGTGCCGGTATTCACTTTCCTCACTGATTCCAATAAAGCTTAATAGTAAAACAAGTAAAATATAGAAAAAATACTTGTTAAAATAAACATAACTGCCGGCCCCGCAGCGGGAGGGAGGCGCGAGGCCCGAGCGGCGCTGGGCTGAGCAGCGCGGGGCCCGGCCCGGCCCGGCCCGGCCCCATGCCCGCAGCCCCACCGGAACGCCCTTGAGTGCGGCGCCCCGCGCGCGCCCCCGCCCGCCGGAACCATTGCCCAGACGGCGCGGCCCGGGCGGCCGGGCTCTGCCTCGGCTCCGCGCTGGCTGCAAGATGCTGCTGGCGGCCGCGGCGGTGCTGCTCGTGATGATCCCCGTGCTGGTGAGCTCGGGCGGCCCGGACGGCCACTACAAGATGCTAGGCACCTGCCGCATGGTGTGTGACCCCTACCCCGCGCGCCGAGCAGAGCGCGCCGCCGCCCTCCACACTAGTGCAGGGCCCCCAGGGCAAGCCGGGGCCCCCCCCACCCCCGGTCCCCCCCTGAGAGTAGGGGCCGCAGGGCCCGCCCAGAGCGGGGGCCTCGGGCGCGGTGAGCGCTGCCACCTACACCACGGTGCTGCGCATGGTCTTCTACACCGGCCTCAAGAACCCGCACGAGGGCTACGAGGTGCTCAAGTTCGATGACGTGGTCACCAAGCTGGGCAACAGCTACGACGCCGCCAGCGGCAAGTTCACGTGCAGCATCCCGGGCACCTACCTCTTCACCTACCATGTCCTGATGCGCGGGCGGCGACGGCACGAGCATGTGGGCGGACCTGTGCAAGAACGGCCTGGTGCGGGCCAGCGCCATCGCCCAGGACGCGGACCAGAACTACGACTACGCCAGCAACAGCGTGATCCTGCACCTGGACGCGGGCGACGAGGTCTTCATCAAGCTGGATGGCGGCAAAGCCCATGGCGGCAACAGCAACAAGTACAGCACCTTCTTCGGCTTCATCATCTACTCCAACTGAGCCCCGCGTGCCGCCCTGACCGGGGAGCTGAGGCCGAGGCACTGTCCCCTGTGACCCACCGCCGGCGCCTCAGCCTGGGCTGCTGAGCTGCCCGTGCCCGAGAAGCTGCCCACCCCCAGCACCCCAAGCCCTGGCCCAGCTGCGCCTCCTCTGACCAAAGTGTTAATAAAATCCTTTCCACCCGCAAAAAAGATAAAATAAAATAAACATAACTTTAAAATATACATTAAATTTTAGTATATTCAACTATTAAAAGCTGTGAATTATAAATAAAATTAAAATCAAAGTTATAAATATTTTGAGCAGAGTTAAAAGCACCATTTTCTATTCTCTCCATCTACACAGAATGCATCAATCAAAAGTTCACGTGATGTACAAAGTAATATTTTGCTATAATTCTTCTTGTTTCCAAATATACACAGTGAAAAACTTTGAAAGAATTCAAAGTTTTTAAAAACAAATGCACATCTTCATGGTTCAATTTACCGTTTTGTGACCCTTCTGGCAAGCCACGTGCAGTGCTGTCTGCCCCATCCCATCCTCAACATCAACATCACTGACATGCTGCAGGAGGTCATGGAGTAATTCTGTACGCCCATTCACAGCTAACCAGTTATCTGTGAAGTCATTCAGTTATTTAACATTTATACAAGAGTGTTTCATTAAAAAGTACCAAATAAATAATGTTATTATTTCTCAACTAACCATGATGTGCAAACTAATGATATTTTAAACCAATATAGTTTTTCCCAATGAGAAAAATATATGCATCAAGATATAGATTATATTGCATTGTATTACAAAATCAAGAACTCAATAGCTCAAAATAGTCTTAGATGACCCTGGACTCTAAGCTTAGCTTATCTCTAGAGAAAAGGCATGGATATTTTTCCTTTGGGAGAAGCAAACATAATTTTAAAAGTATTTAACACAATAATGCCACATTCTTTAGTTCCTATGTTTATAAGCAATAAATGTATCTTACATAAATAATAAGATGTATAAGAAAAATTTTATACCTGTAAATCTACTGTTAAAATCTACCAATGTTAAAGCTTTGGGCCAAGAAGGGCCAAGGGTATAGCTCAGTGGTAAAGCTCATATTTAGCATGTACAAGGCCCTGGGTTCAATGCCAAAAAGAAAAAACAACAAAAATTTTGGACTACGTATTCCAAAGTTCAAATCCATGTATTTTTTTCACTTTATTTAATTTCATTAAAAACTTACAAAGACATTCCTGTTTTAAAGTGACAGGTTGAAGACATCCATCAGCTTCAACTTCTTTGCAACACCCCACTGAAATTACAGTAAGAGTATTTTCTTAAAGAGACAGTAACAAATTTTGGAAGCTGGAAAACATAATACTCTTTATCTTGTCAGATAATACTTGTTGACTTGTTGGAACAAAAAGAATATTCAGTCAGAAGCAGAGAAAGCTAAGAAGACATGTAATTCAGATCATAGAACCACTGAAGACTCTAGAATCAGTAGAAGGCACTATGTACCTCTTGAAGTAAAGGTGAAGGTGGGACTAAAACCAAGTCACTTGAAAGTTTAATAAGAGTGAGATACTCATATCCCTACCCTTTTCCAATTCTGCAAGGATAGTAAGGGCCACTCGTTAATCTGACAGAGTATGAGCCTGTAGATGAGAAACACCAAACACAATGAACCACAAGTACCAACCACATTAAAAAGGGGAGATTAAATGCTGGTTCACACCTGAATTTTGGCATCCCAAAGCATTCTTCCCTATGCAACAACCACAGTGCTACCACTTTCCTGGTACTGTAGTTTGAAAAGCTCTCTCTGAGGAATCTAACTGGCTCAAGCAAGAGTAACTGCCTAAGGAACCACAAGGCTTTCAAACAGCTTTCTCTTATTCCACCAAACACTTGATAGATTTATCTAATTTAAAAGACAATAACACACACACACACATACAAAAGATAAAGGGGAAAAAAACAATCATGAAAAAATTATTAATACTCTCAGAGAACAAACTAATCACATCACAGAATACTGTTTTTTGTTTTTGTTTTTTAAAGATAAGAAAAAAACCGAAAAGGAACCTTTGGAAAGTAGTAATGTGATCACGACATACAAATGTAAAAGAAGATTTAGAAGATGATACTGAAGAAGTCTCCATAAAGCACAAAGGAAAAATAAGAAATAAGAGAAAAGGCAAGAAAATCGCTGGGCTATTCTAGGTCTAATAGTCAAACAATAAGTGTACAAAAGGAAAAAACAGAGGAGTGAAAATCATGAATCCTACTTTACAAAAATCTATTTCCATTTTATGTTTCTAGATTAATAGGGTCACTATATTATCCAGCCAAATGGATAAAATAAATCCAACTGAGACATATAATGAGGAAATTATAGAATGCTAAGGACAGAGTAGATTCTGTAAGTTTCTAGGCAGAAAAAACAGGATTTATGTAAATAAAGCAAGAATCAAACTAGGTATGTTGATGCATATTCATAAGCTCAGAGACTTGGAAGGCTGGGGTAAGTCAGTCTGGGCAAATCTGCAAGACCTTTCTCAAAACAAAAAAGGGCACTGAAGATGTACATCAGCACTCCGTGAGTCCAATCTCCAGTCATAAAAAAAAACTAATAGCAGCACCAAGCTTTAAGACTGAAAGCTAGAAGACAAAGAAGCAATGCAAAATGCTAAGAGAAAATGATACTCAATCTAGAATTTTATTTTCAGCTAAATTATCATTTTATAAATTATCATTAATCAATTTTATAAATTATATATATAAATTTTGATAAACTCAAAGACTCCAGTCATTTTTAGACATATACCACAACAACAAACTTACTTCCCATGCACCTCTTCTCAAAAACTTATCAAAGATGTGCTCCACCAAAGTTACAAAACAATTAGGAAAGACAGACATGGAACTCATATAACAAAGAATTCAAAGCAAGACAAAGACAAAAAGACAATCTAAGACAATGGCAATGAAACATTCTGAGTAACTATTCAGCAGAACTAGAAACTAATCAACTCAGCCTGGAGAGGACAGAATCTCCATTACATGTTCCCGCAACACATAATCAAGGACTTAAAAAACACTGACTACATTTTAGGGTAATATTTACAAATAGTAATAAATACCTAAAAAACTTAAAAAATAGAAAACAAAGCCTGGAGATGTAGCTCAATGGAGGAGTACTTGCTCAGCATGCACAAGCCCTGAGTTCCATTCCCACTCTATAAAAAGAAAAATTGAAAGGTTCAATAAAGCAAGAAACAGATGTAAAAGACATTGAGATTGGAAAGTAATAAATATAACTCTATTTAGAGAGTTTATGATTATCTATATAGAATATCCCAAGGAATACACACACTCTCACACACACACACACACTGAATTCAAGAGGAGGTGGAACATAAGATCAACACACAAAAAACAATTGCATTTCTACATTTTAACAATGAACATGCAGAAACTCAGCTAAAAGCACAATACCATTTACAAAACATATACAAAATCCCTAGTACTAAATGCTAATGAAAGAAATCAAAGACCTAAATAAATACAGAGAGAAATGTGTTTATGGATTGAAAGACTCAACACAGTAGAGATGTCAATTATCCCCAAATTGATCTACTGGTTTAATGCAATTCCAGTCAGAATCCCAGTAAGGTTTTTCTGTAGGAATAGACAAATTTATTATAAAATGTATTCAGAAAGGCAAAGGAATGAATAACTAACACAATTCTGAAACAGAAAAATAAAGTGGGAGGAAATACTCTCCTAAATTTTGTTTTGGTACCAGGGATCGAACTCAGGACCTTGCACTTGAGAGGCAGGTGCAGCACCACTGAGCTAAATTCCTGGCTCTACTCTCCTAATATTAAGGCTTAGTATATATATAGCTACAATAATCAAGACAGTGTGGTTCTTGTAAACACATATCAATGGAATGAATACAGAGCCCAGAAGAGGACCATACAAATAACCCAACTGATTTCCGAGAAAAATACAAAACCAATTTAATGCAGAAAAGATAGCTTTTTCAAAAGGTAATGCTAACGTAATTGAACATTCTCAGGCAAAAAAAACAAAATTAACCCTAACCTCAGCCTCACATATTATACAAATATTAACTCAAAAGAAATCACAGATATAAACAGAAAATGTGAAAAGTATAGTACATTTAGAAAAAAAAAAATGGGAGAAAATCTTCAGGAGCTAGGGCTAGGAAGAGGTCTTCAACTTAGTACCAAAAGCACAATCCATAAAAAGAAACACTGATAAACTGGACTTCATCAAAATTTAAAACTTTTTTTGCTCTCAAAAGATCCTGTTAATAGCCTGAAAAGGCAAATTAAAGACTGGAAGAAACTATTTCAAAATCGCATATTTGAATGGGCAGTACTCTCTTGAATATATAAAGAATTCTCCCAACAGTTTTTTTAAAAGTCAAAGCTTAGAAAATGGACAAATGACATACATAAGTTGGTATTTTACTTCATGTAAGAAGGTATACAAAGGACATAAGCCTATGAAAAAATGTTCAACATTACTGGCAATTAGAAAAATAGTAATTAAAGCAAAATGATACATCACACAACCATTATAATGGCTGAAATAAAAGTGACACCACCAACAGTTGTCAATGAAGGTGAAAAACTAGATCATTCATATTACTAGTGGGAACATACTGTATAGTGGCACAACCATAAATAGGCAACAGGCAAGAGTATTTTAAAACTAAACACGAAACCACATATCATACAACCCAGCAACCAAATGGTTAAACATTTACCCCAAAGAAACATAAACTTAAATTCACACAAAAACTTGCACACTAATGTTGATGTTTACAGCAGCTTTACTCCTAATATCCCAAAACCCAAAATGACTCAGATGTTCTTCAACAGTCAGTTAACAGTTAAAAGAAACAACAGTACATCCACTCCATATACTACTACTCAGCCCTAAGAAGGAACAAACTTGATATGCAACAACCTAGATAAATCTCCAGGGAACATGATAAGCAAAATAAGCCAACACCAAAAGATTTCATATAGGATAATTCCATTTATATAACATCCTTGAATAACAAACTTTTAGAAATGGAAAACAGATTTAGTGATTATCAGGGGTTAGGCATGGAGTATGAAAGAGAAAGGTATGATAATAAAGGACAATACAAGAGATCTTTGTGGTGTTGGAAAGTTTAGAACATTACAGTGGTAAACATAGAACATACACAAGTAATAAAACTGTACAGAACTTAATAAACACACACACATAATAACACTGGGGAAATTTCAACAAGATAAACTGCATCCATATCCTGGCTATGATATTATGTTCTAGTTTTGCAAATGTTACCAAGAAGGGTAACTGGACAAAAGGTATAAGGGATTTCTGGGTATTATTTCTTAAGACTGTATGTGAATCTACAATTCTCTCAATTTCTTTTTTTTAAAGAAGACAATTATTTACCATAGATAAAATGCTAGGCAGAAAAAAGAAAAGTAACTATAGAAGATTACTTGCCATAACTATGAATCGTTTTTCTTTAGTTAAAAAAAAAAGAACACTGAAAATTCATTTAACTAAAATTATAATGACTACAGTGAAAGGACATGAGGGAAATGTGCTTGCTTATACATGATGAATGGGGAAAGGGGCTAAAAAAGAGAACAATAGCTTCATCTTCCAAAATGTTAATAGGTGATGCCTAAAATCAGAAGGTAGCATTTGCATGTTTAGATTAAAAATATAAAATTTTCAAATCCATTAAAATATGAGAGGAATTGCCTAGGCAGAGGTACACTTGGAGGGGGAAGTTTAAGGAGAAAGGCTAAGAAACCATTTTCTATAACAAGTTTTATAGAATGAGATGACTAAAATACATACATGAATTATTTTATTAAATAAAAATTTTATTTAAAAACAGCTCCATCTTCCTTACAGTTCAGGAATGAAAGGGGAAATAATAGCAGATAAAACCTTCTGCAATTAAACAGATTAACAGTGAATATTTTATCTTGCTTAAACTGGGTAATGTTCAAAGGAAAGATCTATGTCATTTCCAGGGGTTTATATAATCCCCTGTATCATCTACTACATCATTAAGCATTCAGTAGGTATTCAGAATACAACTTTTCCTTATCAAGTATTGGTGTTATATTGTTAGTATATAAGGAAATATGAATTTTCATGGGAACTGTAGATTTTGTAAAATAAAATCACGATTGAGCTTATTCTACAATAATCCACTCAGAAAAATGCAAATTTTAGAAGTTTCTTCTTATGCCTCCTTCCCCAAATTTTTAATCAAAAGTACCAAGCTTGGCCTTGAGACCAAGCTTGGTAAGTAAATATTCAATGCTGTTTTTACTCACAAATTATGATTCAAAATCTATAAGTACTACCAAAGGAAAGTTAAATTTAACAAAAAAATTAACATCTCCTGCAACTTCAAAATAACTGCTCCAGCCACACATGGAGGCACATCCCTGTACTTTAATTCCAGGTACACAGGAGGTTAAGACAGGAAGATTGCAAGTCTGAGGCTAGCCCAAAGAATTTAGAGGGATGGAAATATAGTTCAAACACTTGCCTAGCATGCACGAAGGCCTGGGTTTAATCCCTGGTACTACAAAAAAACAATGGGACCCCTGAAGCATTACTGGAAACCCCTGCAGTAGGATCCAGTCTCTTACTCAGTGTATGATGCAGGCCTGAGAAAAAAAACCCAAAAGACAGAACTAAGAGATAGAAAGCAGAGGCCAGGAAAACCAATGCCGGTGCAAATGACAAAAGTGCTGGCCAGTACAAGCCACTGATTTTTACTGGTAATCAATTGGAGTAAAGGCGCACTATGTGCAAGAGCAGGACTATGTGAGAAAATGCGCAGTCCTGCGGTTTCTGTGAAAATTATTGGAGACAAGGCTTGTAAAGGAAAAACACAAAGAATTCTTGAATTAGGAACAGAACAGACAAAATATATAACTGTAATTCAAACACTGTCCTTCTAGTTAAGGTTTTAGTTGTGGGAAGGGAATATGGGTGCGAGTTACTCTGACCTCGGCATGTAGGCTTCGGCCAGACTCATTTCTCAAAACAAGCCAATTGGGTTAACTCTTCACAGACTGCACTGTTTATAGCCTGCTTTGGGCATAATCAATAGTGCAGTCCCCTGCATAATTCTATTTTATCTCTACTTCTAAAGTGAATAATGCTCAAATAATGATTTAGTTAAAATTTTGAGATTTCAACAATCCCTTCAGCAAAATCCCATACCACTTCCCCACAATATCTATGTTGATAAAAATATATTAACTTAGTTTTGTAATAAAACTAAGGGGGAAATGGATAAAAATGCCAGTTTAACACATAACAAGTCTGAAAGAATATAGCCAAAATGTTAACAATGGTTATCTATCTCTGAGTGCAGGAAATACAGAGAATGTTCAGTCCTTGTGTTACTTTTTTTTCCTTTCTGCCTAGTCATACAAACATATCAAAAGTACTTACACATCACAATGCAAAGTAACTCTCTTACAATGAATTGATACATACTTTGGCAGAGATGTTCCTAAGAAGTCCACTAAAAGTCAGTGACAGAAGACAGGGGAATAAAACTTCAAAATAAATGAAAGAGGGGAGAAATACAGTGAACTACAACTTTTCTTATATATTTAACTGAAAATTATACCTCGAATCATTCTGCACCTTCTTAATTATAAAGAAGTAACTTGTAGAAAACTTGTACTACACTTTGCATTATCATCACATTTAAGATTATTTCTATAAAGTATTTTAAAACTCTGAGCCCTTACTGCTGTAAGGCCTTCATTATTACAAATGTTGACATCACCACCGTATTCTAATAATTTATGCACGCATTTCTTCTGTCTGAAATGAAAAAGAAAGAACTAGTATTAGAGAATATAACAATGACAATCATTTTACTGCAATATTAACTACAATAAACATTAGCTAATGATATAATATCTATATCTGTAGGCTAGTCACTGTTGGCACACGCTTATAATCCAGCACTCAGGAGGCTGAGGCAGAAGAATCACTGTTAGTTTGAGGCCAGCCTGGGTTACATAGTAAATTCAAGGCCAGACTGGACTGAATCATGAGACCCTGTCTCA